AGTCACCAGGTTAAAGAATTCTTTAATTTCTTACCCAGCTCAGCAGTATGACCTGAAAGTGATCAGAAACCTGTACTTGTCCAAAAGTCCTTTATATGAATCTTCTGGAAGATGGAGCATTTTTGCAAAAGCATCTGAGTAAAACGATAACTATCTATAAATGACAAAAGACTTTAAAAGGCAGGGTTAAAGGTCTGATTACAATGCAGTTGACAAACTCGGTTACTGCTGTGACATACAACATTTTAAGATGTTAACTAGAATTATAATTGATAACATTTTATCAGGATATACCCGATTTTTAGGAGTTCCATATAATTTCTGTTTTTAAACATAAATTTATTTATTATTTATTTATGTTTCGGCTGTGCCGGGTCTTCGTTGCTGCACGTGGGCTTTCTCTAGTTGCGGCGAGCGGGGGCTGCTCTTCGTTGTGGTGTGCGGGCTTCTCACTGGGTTGGCTTGTCTTTGTTTAGGAGCACAGGGTCTAGGTGTGTGGGCTTCAGTAGTTGTGGCACGCAGGCTCAGTAGCTGTGGCTCGCGGTCTCTAGAGCACAGGCTCAGTAGTTGTGGCACACGGGCTTAGTTGCTCCGCGGCATGTGGGATCTTCCCGGACCAGGGCTCGAACCTGTGTCCCCTGCGTTGTCAGGCAGATTCTTAACCCCTGCTCCACCGGGGACGTCCCTGTATAATTTCTAGACTATCTATTTTAATAAAATCTACCCATACAATATAACCTAAGAAGGTTTAACACTCATTTGATGATGCTTCCCTTGTAATTTAACATACCAAATAAGCCTAATTAGTTTAATAAGCTTCTTTGATAAGAAGAGCAAACAATTCTCTTGAGATGTTCTGGGGGCCTTTGGGAAACCTCAAAGTTAGTCAGAGGTCAGACAAACTTCAATTAGAATTTTTGATCTTTTGTCAAAAATATCAAAAAGGCTTTAAAAACCCTTGGTCAAATAGGATCATAGGTCTCTGTGAAACAATACTTATTCACTTAACCAAGTGACAATAAAAGATTTCAAAGGCACATACATAAAGTTACAATAGATTAATTAAAAGGTAAAGGAACCTTACAATCTGTTATCAAAAGCAGATTCATATTCTAAGAAAACTTTGTTCTCTTAACAAAGAGAAAATCAAACTCCATTTTTGTGCCAGCCTTTTTTTTTTTTTCTTTTTCTCGCTGCACAGCTTGCGGGGTCTTACTTCCCCAACCGGGGATTGAACCCGCGGCCCCGGCAGTGAGAGTGCCGAGTCCTAACCACTGAACTGCCAGGGAATTCCCACCAGCTTATTATTATTACTTTTTTTTTGCGGTACGCGGGCCTGTCACTGTTATGGCCTCTCCCGTTGCGGAGCACAGGCTCCGGACGCGCAGGCTCAGCGGCTATGGCTCACGGGCCCAGCCGCTCCGCGGCATGTGGGATCCTCCCGGACCGGGGCACGAAACCCATGTCCCCTGCATCGGCAGGCGGACTCCCAACCACTGCGCCACCAGGGAAGTCCCCACCAGCTTATTTTTAATAACAAAATTCATTTACTCAAATTCAATCTAAATCTTAGTCCTGACCACCGTAGAATTCCTTTATTTTTTTTATTTTAAAAAATTAATTAATTAATTATTTGGCTGCATCTGGTCTTAGTTGCGGCACACAGGATCTTTGTTGTGGCATGCAGGATCTTTTGTTGCGATGCGCGGGTTCATCACTGCGGTGCGTGGGCTCCTCTCTAGTCGTGGTGCGGGGGCTCCAGAGCGCACGGTCTTAGTTGCTCTGCGGCATGTGGGATCTTATTTCCCCGACCAGCGATTGAACCTGCGTACCCTGCATTGAAAGGTGGATTCTTAACCACTGGACCACCAAGGAAGTCCCTAGAATTCCGTTCTAAAGATCTTCCCCCCACCCCACCGTTAACCTTCTACAACTTTCTATATCCATATTAATTGGTGCTTTATTTTCTTTACTATTTAGAAATAGCCAGCTTTAGGACAAAATTACTTTCTTTTCCCTTACAAAAACACATTTCCATTTCTTTTTCCTTGCATACAGTAGTGTTTTTCTTATTAATTTTTAATTATATATTTTAATTAAAAAATTTAACCTTAGTTTTAAAACCTTAAAAAACCTTAGTGAAAACCAAGAAGTTAATTATGAACTATTTATCATACCAGCATTTCCTGATTGGCAAATTTAAGAACATAGTCTAGAAACTAATTTCTTTCCTCAGTGGGATACAAGACCTGTCCAATGAACAAAATATCTTTAGTTTTTCTCTAATAAAAAGACAAAAGGGCTTCCCTGGTGGGGCAAGTGTAAAGGATCCACCTGCCAATGCAGGGGACACGGGTTCGCGCCCTGGTCTGGAAAGATCCCACATGCCACGGAGCAACTAAGGCCGTGCGTCACAACTACTGAGCCTGCGCTCCAGAGCCCACGAGCCACAACTACTGAAGCCCGTGCTCCTAGAGCCCGTGCTCCGCAACAAGAGAAGCCACCGCAATGAGAAGCCCACCCACCGCAATGAAGAGTAGCCCCTGCTCGCCACAACTAGAGAAAGCCCGCGTGCAGCAATGAAGACTTAGTGCAGCCAAAAATAAAATTTAATTAGGAAAAAAAAGACAAAAGTAGGTAAACTTAGACTTCTTTAGCAATGAATGTTTCAGTATCTTATTTGGAAATGATATGGATATTCAATGAATTCCCATCATTTAACTTAATTTAGCAGTTTCAAGTTACCAAAAATCTGGAGAAACTATTTTTAAGTAGACAGTCCTAAAACATACTTATTCCTAAAGAATTCACCTAGAAACTCTTATTTACATTTAATTTACTTAAAAGTTTCATCATATCATGTTATTTTTCTTGCTGACAAATTTTGCAACAGGAATAAGATTTTTGTTTGTGAAAGAACTAAGTTTTTTAACAAAATTTATTTATTTTTGGCTGCGTTTGGTCTTTGTTTATAGAACTGCTTAATTCCCTTTAAGTCAGTTAAATAGAGCTCTTTTACTAGTTAAATTTGGCAACACCACACATCTACAACACACACATATATATAGATACAACACACAGACACAGAGACCCCATAGTTCCCATTCCAAAATTTCAGCCATGAATCAGGTACAATAGTACAAAATCCATCAGTTACATACAACACCGGGAATATAGCCAATATTTTATAATAACTGTCAATGAAAAAGCAATCAGTCGATCTAAGAAAGAAATGGAAAATTTTATTTGAGCCAAATTTGAGGACTCTAACCTGGGAAGAGCATCTCAGAAAGCTCTGAGAACTGTTCTGCCCATTAGAAGTCAAGGCACAGTTCTATAATTTTTTTGAGACAGAACGCTGTACGTCAAATGACGTATTATTGACAGTTTACATAATCCAGATCTAAGCGTCATCCTGGTGAGTCATGTGACCCCTTACAAGATCAAGAAGGAACGTTACCATTTGAGGAGTTGTCTTGTCGATGCTAGGAGAAAGGTCCTCTTCCTGGTTGA